ATTTTTTTATTTTTAGTCAGTATCTTAACTCTTAGCCACAACCACATTTACCAATTGTAAGCAAGTATATATGAATGTGCTATGTGCATAGATGCTATGTGTATATATGTTGTGGACGCTGAGTAGTGAGTACTTACCAGGAACGTTATCAGGTAAGCAAATCGTTGTCAGTCCGACGAACTTGACCCTGGCGTCTAAAGGGTCTGTCCTTGACACTTCAGGCTTGTCAGGGGCACCAAAGTCCTTCCAGGGACACCACAAACCTTTCAGGGGCACCTACGGCCTTGTAGGGGCGCCACAGGCCCGCCAGGGGCACCACAGGCCTGCCAGGAAGTAGGGGCACCACAGGTCTAGCAAGTATACACGACAGGCCTGTCAGGGGCACAACGGACCTGTTGGGCCCATGAGCACCCCTAGGTGCAGGGGCACCACAGTCCTTCCAGGGGCACCGCAGGCCTGTGAGGGGCACCAGCGGCCTAGCAGGGGCACCAGTCAACACAGGCCTGCCAGGGGCACCACAGACCTGCAAGGGGCACCAGAGGTCTGCCAGGAGCACCACCGACCCCGCAGGGGTAACTTGGGCCTGTCAGGGGCCAGGGGCACCACGGGCCTGTCGAGAGGCACTTCAGGCTTTTCAGGGGCACCATAGTCCTCTCCGGGCGCAGGGGTAGCAGGGGCACCAGAGGCCTGCCAGGGGCACTACAGGCCTAGCAAGGGCACCACTGGTCTATCAGGGGCACCACGAGCCTGTCATAGCCAGGCATCTCAGGCTTGTCAAGGCCCAGGGGCACCACAGGTCTGTGAGGGGCACCAGCGACCTAGCAGGGGCACCAGTCAACACAGGTCTGCCAGAGGCGCCACAGACCTGCCAGGGGCACCACAGACCTGCCAGGGGCACCAGAGGTCTGCCAGGGGCACCACCGGCCTCGCAGGGGCACCTTGGGCCTGTCAGGGGCACCACGGGCCTGCCGAGGGGCACTTCAGACTTTTCAGGGGCACCAGTCCTCTCCGGGCGCAGGGGTACCAGCGGCCTAGCAAGGGCACCAGAGGCCTGCCAGGGGCACCAGCGGCCTAGCAAGGGCACCAGAGGCCTGCCAGGGGCACCACAGGCCTAACAAGGGCACCACGGGCCTGTCAGGGGCACCTCAGGCTTGTCAGGGCCCAGGGACACCACAGTCCTTCCAAGGGCACCGCAAGCCTGTCAGGGGCACCAGAGGCCTGCCAGGGGCACCACAGGCCTAGCAAGGGCACCACTGGCCTGTCAGGGGCACCTCAGGCTTGTCATGGCCCAGGGGCACCACAGTCCTTCCAGGGGCATTACAAGCCTGTCAGGGGCACCAGAGGCCTAGCAAGGGCACCACAGGCCTGCCATGGACACCACAGGCCTGTCAGGGGCACCACCGCCCTTGCAGGGGCGCCTCAGGCCTGTCAGGGGCACCACGTGCCTACCGGGGACACTTCAGGCTTGTCAGGGGCGTTACAGTCCTGTCAGGGCCCAGGGGCACCAGGCCCGTGGTGTCCCTGCTAGGCCTGTGGTGCCCCTGGCGGTCCTGTGGTGCCCCTGTCAGGACTGTGATACCCCTGATAGGCCGGTGGTGCCCCTGGCAGGTCTTTGGGCCCCCGGGCCTCAAGGGGGGGGGGCCATGACCCATGTGACCCCCCCCCCCCTTGGATCCGCCCCTGAGTGCGACCGAAGAAGGTGAACACATCAGACAACAGTGTTATATATAAGATACCTTGTTCTGGACCATGTTTAAAATCATATGTCGGTGAAACGGGGAGGGGTTTGAAAACACGACTTCAAGAGCACAAACGTGATGTTCGAAATCATAATCTATCCAATGCGATGGTGCTTCATATAGAAAAGTGTCATCATCTTCCAGCTTGGGATTCAGCTACACTGTAAACCAAATTGACAAGTCTTGTGTAATATAACCAATCATCTCTTGGTATGTTTACCAACTGATACTTTTTAAACAAGCCGTTGTCTGGTGCATTGCTTGTCAGGTGGCAACTACGAGTCAATAGTTACTATGCACACCAACTTCTCAGTATCCAGACCAACTCTACATTTGTTTCAACGTTTGTTTCTTAACCAGTTTTGGAAACTTGTTGTTGCATGGTTATTTAACCGGCGCCTAACTTGTACTGGTCAGCTGGTCAGCATACACATGGTCAGCTACGCCGGTGACGTCAGACTTGGCGGACCAATCAGCGGTCGCCGCCGGCCGTTAGCGGGCCCCGGCGCGGCGGTTTCGAACCAGCAGTTGTCGCGCGGCCGCCGTGCAGCCTGGAGCAGCGACGAGGGCTGTTCCAGCATTTGTTCAGTAAAAAGTGAAATCTGTGAACTGTGGTGTTCGTTCTGCGAGTGAGGCCCCCTCTGGCCTGTGGGACGCACTAATCGTGCCTATACCCGCGGTCGAGACGCCTCCCTTCCCCTGCGCGCGCAATGTAAGTGGGCCAGACCTGTGCATGCACATGTGAGCAGATGTTTTGCGGTCGATGTTTTTTTTTACATATAAATACATTTATTTGCCTTTAATTCAACTCTTTGTATTTTTAACTTTACTGATGGACATATATGGGCTGTAAAAGCTAATCTGGTTGGCGATCATGATTTATTCGAATTATCTGCGTGATCGTGCATTTGCCATGATTGTTATGGTGGTCAATGTTCAGGAAATATTCGTCATACGGGCATGTTATACTTCTGGCTTGATGCGGTGCACAAAACCATGTTCTTCCACATACGAGGCAGTTCTTGCTTCAAAGACTTATATGCTGACGGTGCACGATAGGTATACCTACTGGGTATACCTATACCTCATGCATTTACCACATCCATTCGAAAATATGCACTCGGAATTGTCTCCAGTCAATAGTATTAATTATGTGACCGTAATGATACTAATGATTCCAGAAACTTCCGAATGGATGTGGTGTATGCATTCATTGATTATATAACCCATCAGTATTTCGTTTCTTGTCAGCGCAAGCCTTTGAGCAATAACTGATGCCAGTCATGGTTTTGTGCACCACTTCCAGCCAAAAAATAGCCTGTCCGTTAGAAAATATTTCCTGAATCAGTATCGTGGCAATTGAAAACGAACGCGAATCGTAAGTTCTGAAGGTTATCAACGCAAACAAAGCGATTGTAAGGAAGAACAAGTTCGAAAAGAGCGTTAGTACACTTACTTGTTGACAATTTGTAAGCTAGCAATGCCCAGTCAAAGGCTAGTTCATCAACAAACCAGGGGTTGGTGAACCGACAAGGAAACGACTATGCCTATCCAGAAGTTGGTAGGTCCACAAGGCCCAGACTAGTACTCAACAAGGTGACGCCTATGCGAATTGGAACCAAACTTGTAGACAAACTGTTAGTTTGTTGGCCAACAAGCCTGGGGTTGGTGAATCGACAAGGTATCGACAAGGTGACGCCTATGCGAATTGGAACCAAACTTGTAGACAAACTGTTAGTTTGCTGGCCAACAAGCTTGGGGTTGGTGAATCGACAAGGTATCGACAAGGTGACGCCTATGCGAATTGGAACCAAACTTGTAACAAGGAGCCAACTTGTAGATTTGGTTTACAGTGTACAGTGATGGAAAAGGGCATGCCAAAACCGATTAGGAGAGCCATGGAAGCTGCATATATTTTACTTGAAGACACCGTTAACATAAAGCCAGGCTTCTACAGCTGGTCCAGGATAGGTGCGAAAATGGTGCTAAAAAACAAATAGCTATATCTATACATAGGAGTGTCTCTGTTATAATGTGTCAATGTGTCGATTCCAATGCTGTGATTATGACTTACAGAATAGTTTAGACAGAAGAACGATATAACATTTTAGTGCGAGATTAGATATAACCTGTATTTCAAAAAAGTAGAACTGTATTTCGTGCAGGCTGGTCGTCTTCTATATTTTTATCGATGTAAAGCCTTTATCTTGTTTTTCCACTGACGAAGGCACTTTGTTGTCGAAACGTCTGGTCTTATTACATTGTTTTTGTACCTATTGTCATTGTCTGTCAGAAAAACGAAATGTCGCACATACTTCACTTGGTCTATAAGAGATATACGTTTCACTGATTTAACAGCAGAAATCGCGCTCGACTTTTGAAGACCCACTACACTCTGTTAGCGCTACTGGATTTGCCAGATGCTGTTGGAGGCTTATACCTATACTTAAATGATTGTAATGGAAGTGCGGTTCATTTGTCGACGCGTGAAATTGTGCACGACAAGTGGAAAAGTAAATAATTATTTTCTGGGTCAATGTGGGGAGGCGTAAAGGGGAATGACGCGGATCGAGTTGAAAAGGATGTGTTCTTACCAATATAACGAATACGAACGACATTTTATTGCAAGCTATTTCGGCTTTATTTTACGATAGTCGAATCGAAGAGTTGGCAGTTGAAGAGATGGCTACTGGAGACCTGTGTTATCGGTCATTCGATACTTTAACTTGACTGGAAGTATGGTCGAATTTAACTGGCGTTGCTGGCGAGTGATGCTCGCAGCGACAGGACTGGTGGCGGTGGAGGCCCAGTTGAAGTTAACTTGAAGTGCTGGCGAGTGATGCTCGCAGCGACAGGACTGGTGGCGGCGGATGCCCGCTGGTTGAAGTTGACGGAGGTGCTGGCGAGTGACGCTCGCATCGGGTGGTGTGATTGATCAGTGATCACGTATGCTTCTTGGTCACTTATGTGTGGCTTGAAACTAGCCAAGTGGCGGTGTAATGGAAGCGCGGTTTATTTGTCGACGCGTGAAATTGTGCACGAGAAGTGGAAAAGTAAATAATTATTTTCTGGGTCAATGTGGGGAGACGTAAAGGGGAATGACGCGGATCGAGTTGAAAAGGATGTGTTCTTACCAATATAACGAATACGAACGACATTTTATTGCAATGATTTAATTGCAAACTATTTTATCATGTTTCCAATCCATAGACGAGGATTGCTTATTTTTTTACCATTATTCGGTCCACAAACAACATCAATGGATCTCATGTTATATTTCACAATTATGCTAAACACCATTAGCACTGTGCCTCAGAAACGGGATTGCGGCTGGTCTCGCGCAGCGACAATGTAGGCACTGCAGATCGCGCCAGTTGTCCCGGCGGTTGTCCTGTGGCGTCCATATCCATTGTCCATGTTCCTTGTAGCATTTGCCGTCACCTCGCCGCAACGATTATTTGCCATGATGACCCTTGGAGTGATGGCCCTTGGAATGGTGGCCTTTAGAATGATGGCCTTTGTGGGGGTGACCTTTGGAATGGTGACTTCCACTGGGGTGGTGAAATCCGTGGGGGTAATATCCGTGAGGGTAATAGGGGTGATATCCGTGAGGGTAAACCGGGAAGTGATGACCACCTCCGTGGTGAGGGTGGTGACCCTTGAAGTGGTGCCCTTTGTGGCCGGCAATGACCGTGGCGAGCACGGTGAAGAGGACGACAACGATCGCCTGAAAGAAATCGTGATAGAAGGTGAAACAGGCATGATTGAACAAACCAATCATTGTCCGGACAGATTCTGCCTGTCCATGGCGTGGGTACACAACAGGTGATGTCAGGCAGTACGAGCCTCACATTTCACGATGCGCCTAAATACGAAACACCACAGGTCATGAGGTAAACACTTTCCAGTGTTACCAACATTATAAGTTATAACGTTATTATACTGATACAGTTTTTAATAACTGAAATATTTCAAAGAACAAAAGTAAAAAAATAGTAACCAGGGGTGGAGCTTTTCCAGGAAAGTTGGCGGGGCAAAAAGCACTGAAACCTACAATGTCCGATTGTTGAGTTCAATAAAATGCTACACTGTATCAATGCCTATCATAACAGAAATACAATTTTGCATAACACAACCAATTAAAGTTCGCCAATGCGAAAAGATTGATTTACAAGGCTACAAAGTCCTACAAATCAGCTTAAGTTGGTGGGGCAAAATGGCAAGTTGGTGGGGCAGCTGCCCCACCATCTTACAACAAGCTCTTCCCATGATAGACACCAAAGATTACTATTAATGAAGATTCGCAACGCCAACAAAGTGCCCAAAAAATGATAAAAATGCCAAATACCAGGTCGGTTTTGGTGTAGTATCGTTTTGCCAAAACTGAATATCCGATTGACATGTTTGGTACATACACAATACGCATACGACCACGTAGGTACGGCATTACACTACCTTCGTTCAGGACTATGATGCACCATAGACTAGATCATACCACCGCAGGTATCTGTTGGCCATGGGTGCACTGAGTACCTACTACATATTCGTGAGCGGTAACGTTAGGTCCCTACCTACTGGCTGCTGCGGATACTCACCAGGAACTTCATGATCAGCGGCTGCCGGCACGGATGGCTCTGTTTTGACCCCGGCGCAGCTACAGTATATATATGCGCCGACCGAAGGAGGCCGCCGGAGGCCCTGTCTTCGGCGCCTTTCGCCCAATTACACATGCTGCAGCAATCAGTATGGGAAAGTGGCCAGTGGACTAAATCCCCAGGGAGGGGTTATAAGGCTGTTCAGCACCTAACAAATGTAGCCAAGGTCGTGTCCGAACCCATTAATTTAGACACTGATTTTCTGCTGGCGCCCATTTCAAGCATTAACCCGGCAGTTGCTGGGGTATTTCGCCACCCACCGTTTGCTGGGGGGGGGGGGGGGGGCAGCCGATAACTCGAGAACCAATAGGCGCAGCGAAACGCACGAGGCGGCAAACGAAAGAACGCGACGAGACGCTTCAAATAAGTACTTTAAAGTTGAATATTGAGGTCACAGGTCGGGTCAAGGTCAGGTCAAACACCTGAAATCGGGCTCTCAGTATCATGGGCTTCAGGACTTCGCAATGGGCGCCTCTCGTCATTAACTCTCAAAACGGTGCAAAATCCTTCATAAAAGGCCTACAAGAGTGTCAGCTCCATGTTGGGGTCAGTCAAGCATAGGTCAGGCAGGGTCAAGGTCAGGTCAACCGGGTAGGCACATATCCCCGAAAACCAAAACTGATATTCGCAGCCTGCGGCACATGTTTTATGGGTAGTTTTGGGCGTAGAACACGATGGTGACATTCATTTTATCATACGTGTACGTGTTTTGTCCAAAAAGTTCAATTTAAGAAATGCATGCATCATGGTCGTGAAATAGTCACGAGAAATTGCCAAGATTCAGTTCAAGATTTTGGAAAATGCGGAACGGTAATCAATAATCGAAGATATGTCGTTTTTGGTCGAAAACTCAGAAATCATGACGTCACTAAAACCTCGATATCTCAAAAATTGTCCGAACGATTTTTTTTTAAACGTCATAATAAACTTCAATCAATTCCCTACAGGTATCCGAATTTTAGCGCGCCTGTGCGCCGCCGTTTTTATGATGCTATGGCGCGGCGAAAAAGTGGGGGCGTTTAACGCCCCCCCACCCCCCAGCAACTCGCGGGTTAATACCAACACATATAGGAATGTGTCTTATTAGCGACCCCTTGATTTGAACTGTCATAGCTCACGCTCTATGGGCCACTGTATTATTAGCTTGATTTTCGGAGAGACCAATCATGTTCTATCAAAATCTATTCATTCTCTGTCCCAATATTCCAGTTACTTGTAGTGATCATTTTGGCAAACCATTTAAAAAAAAAAACGGTATTAGGGAACTCGTGCCGATTAGCGACCGGGGAGGGTCGCTGAAATGTGTTTAGTTTTCCCATTATGAAAATAGCTAAAATTGCGACGCCTGAAAGATAAAATAATATCTTAACCCTCGCATGTGTGCGGCGTTTGCCAGCTTCTAATGTGTAGGGGGGGGGGTCGGTTGGACCCCCCCCCCCTTGCCGTTTGGCCCCTGATCGAGCTAGAGCTTCGCGGAAAAAACGAGCGTGTTGCCCGTGACGAGAGGAAGCCGATGATACCCAATTTTAAGGTCCTAGGTCATTGGTTGACCTTCCAGGTCAGGTCAATGACCCCAAAGTCGGGAAAATCGGGACCTGTTAGAAAGCCGTAAGGAGTGGCTGCTAAGGGGTTTTTCGGGGTGCTGATCACGAATATCGTGTTAGTTTTGATCACAGATGATGTCTTGAAGCATTTAGACCAGGTCGGGTCAGGTCAGGTCAGGTCAACCAGTAGGCGTCGTGACGGGTATTCGTAGTACGTGTCAACCGCCCCTGACAGCTTCGTAACATGTTACGAAGTCACCAAAAGTACTTCGTAAATGTTCAAATGGTTGCTAAATTCGAATTCAGCTCCAAAAACTAGCCTAGAAACATGTAAAACTCGAAAAAGTGAACCGAGGTCACCCGAGGTCACCAAAGGTCAATGACCTGACCTGACCTTCAGGTGACCTTGACACCCACGGGAGTAACATCAAATTACATGTTTGAACGTTTGAAACCACGAAAAGCTTGCAAACGCGCGGCTAATGCGAGCCGACATACGCAGAATCGCGATTCCGGCCAAACATGGTCTCGGAAAAGAGGTCACAGGTCAAAGGTCATTTGGGTCAGGGTCATGAAATTTTCAGGGTAGGTGTAAAATTGATCAATATGAGGGTACTGAAAGTTTCGTCGCGATCGGCCGCTTTTTACGCGAGTTATTCGCGAAAAACCATGGGGGGGGGGTCCATCCGACCCCCCCCCCCTACACATGCGAGGGTTAAAAAAGGAAGCTGTAGGTACTCAAAGCAATAAATCCATGGAATATGAGCGCATATCAAACACATTTATGTAGGATAAAAGTAGTCACGTGAATCGTGATGCATCAAGTAAAGCGAAAGCCCAAGGCCAAATGTTGCGGGCTCTGTTGTTACGAGCGAGCGAGCGCAGCGAGCGAAGCGAGTCTTTTCAATATAACGGAAAAATTTCAGTATGAGCGGCCCGGCCCGGCCCAGCCCGGCCCGGCCTGTAACGCTTTTGAGAGGCTTATATCTCAGCAACCGCTGGACCGATTGGCCTGCGGTTTTTTTTTTTTTTTTGCTGAGTAGCCCCATCCCTTCTACCCCGTAATTGACTACTTTTGATACATCTCAGTGATCGTCGTGGCACGTGCCACGTGAAAAGTCAAGGGTGTTCAAGCAGTTTTGCAAAAGTAATGATTTTGAGAGGCACATATCTCAGGAGCGGCTTGAGCGATTGTCTTGCGGTAATTTTTATAGGGTAGCTGCATCCCTTCTACTTAAGGTCGGATACTCTTGATCTATGTGAGTGACCCCCACTGCACGTGCAAAATACAAAAAGAAGAGGTGCCAAATTTGTTCCCATTTCAGTAACTCGGTAATTACTGGGGCGATTTCGCTGAAACTTGGCATACCTACAGGTAGGCACCCACCAGGCAATGCATTCTCATGTGTTGCGGTTAGGGTGCTACTGCACGTGCGCACGTGCAGGGGGCGTTTCCAGATCTCGAGAACGGCTGGGCCGATTGCGCTCAAATTTGGTACACGGTTGGGGACAGGTTAGTAGGGTGCCGTGCAAAAGTCATTTTTGACCCCGTTTGCACGTGCGCACGTGCAGAATGCCGCTTCCAGATCTCAGGAACGGCTGGGCAGATTGCGTTCAAATTTGGCACACCGCTAGCGACCGGTTAGAAGGGTGCTTTGCACAAGCCCGTTGGAAGTACCCTCTCGCCCTTCCGCACGTGCAGGGCTCACTATCTCGCTCGCTCGTTCTTCGCCCAAAAGGCGTTTTACTGGTGTTTAGGCTGAAAAGTTTATATGAACGTGAAATATACTCTGCTGGCGTCACATTGCCACTAAAACCAGAAATATAACTCAATCGGTTTGGCAACAGCGTTCAATAATATCCGCACCCTTTGGGTCAATCTGCCTATCTGGGTAGGGCAATTTAGCCGGTGTTTATTTAAAGGCCTTGATTTTATTTTATAGGCGAGTCAGTTTCAGTGTCAACAATGACATGTGTCCTATACGCATTTTCATGCTGACTCGGTGCCGGACTTATATTCGAATGATTCTGACTCAGGTCTTATCTCAGCATTTTCTTGCACAACTAAAAATGCGCTTCCTTTGCATATGTTACAGGGAAGTTTGCAAACTCCCTGACCCATCAGTGAGTTTGCAAATTCACTAGGGAGTTTGCAAAGTCACTGACCGGTCAGGGAGTTTGAGAAATTCCAGAGCGATTGGGACGAATAAAAACAAGTGTGCAGCATGTGGGTGTCATACGTGCCGTCCGTGATGTTAAAACAAAGGCGGCTAGTTGTACGGCCTATTTAAAGGAAATAGTTCACTTTTTAACATGGGTTTTGAACTGGAATAGCAGTTCCGTAGCTTGGGCTGAGACGAGCATAAATCAGGAGCTTTTACAGCCCAACGATCACCCTAGGCAAAGATATTCTATTTCTCGTCCCGAAAAAGGTGTCTTGCGTTGAGGATGTGTGCCTTGCATATATTTCCATCCAGTATGAAAAGAGCATGGGTCCCGAAAATTCTTCAGAAACTAGAGAAATTATCTACGAGAACTCTAGAGAAACTCTCGTACTGATCAATTAGGACATTCAGGGGAACATTATCAGATCGAGCAGATCGCCCAAATGCCGTTGGCTGCGATAATTTCTCTGTTTCTGAAGAATTTTCGGGACCCATGCTCTTTTCATACTGGATCGCGTGTGCCTTACAGAAACTGAAAAGTTCTTCCTATATCAAAATATAGAAAATAATATTTTGTTATAAAAAGGTTTTATTTTCTTTGCTGATTATTTTCAACATAAAAAATCATAAATCCGTTGCAAAAAAAAATAATTTTGTGAAAGTGAACTATTTCCTTTAAGTCACACGCTGACAAAAAGCCTGCAGATCATATGCACGCCATAAATGCCTACTTAAGATTTTAAACTGTTCAGTGATCTAGCCCAAACATGTTCCGCCGCTTCATTTAGTCATACACTTATTTAGTTCACGTCCCAATTATACATAGATCCGTTCCACACAAGTGTTCCACGCGTATGCTTTATATGCTTTACCATAAATGACCAACTGGGCTGTTTCTACTTTGATATATTGAGCCTGACTTTGGAATAGCCACACTTGTGTGGAAGGGATACAATTGGGCCGTGAACTAAATTAATGTAGGTATGACTAAATGAAGCGGCGCTACATGTTTGGGCTAGATCACTGAACAGTTTAAAATCAAAAGTATGGTGTACATTTGATCTGTAAGCTTTTTGTCAGCGTGCAACTGTTAAATAGGCCGTACAACTAGCCGCCGTATGCCACCCACATGCTGCACACGTGTTTTTATTTGTCCTAATCGCTCTGGAATTTCCCAAACTCCTTGACCGGTCAGTGAGTTTGCAAACTCCCTAGTGAATTTGCAAACTCACTGATGGGTCAGGGAGTTTGCAAACTCCCTAGGGGGTTTGCAA